CTTATCACCAGCTGGGGAAGCTGCGGCTGTGTCATCCTTGCCGTGAAGAGAGAGATGCAATCTGATCGACCAACCCCTGATACCTCTTAGACCCACCCGCCACTCGGGTACGAACCCGTCCGATGCTAGCCTTTTTGTCCACAAGCCACTGCTCATATTTCTGGTAATGCTCCATCTCACCACGTAGTTTCTTTTCCATCGACTTGATCTGGCGATCGCTGGCAGTCGCTTGAAGTTGCAGGGGGGCTAGCTGGTCCTGTTGGCGTCGCTTGTCGAGACGCCCTTGCAGAACATCAGTTTGGGCCTCATTCCCCATTTTGCGGTTGAGCTCCGCGAATCGGCCAAGCTCGGCGCCCGAGAGGGGGTCGTCCTTGCCGTAGACTGCAGGTGGCCTGCATGCAAACTTGTTGCCACCCTGAAGGCGCACAAGGAGTGTCGGTCCAGCAAAGAGAACCTCGGTCTCACCTTCAGCGCGGGGTGAAGCCATAACTTCAAAACGGAGTCCGTCGCACTGCTTGCAAAACCAGAACCTGGCAAGTTTTTTCGCACAACAGCAGGACCCGCATCGCCACCGGTGCTCGTGAGCCCCAGTAGCCGTACCATTGCGCCAAAGATAATCCCACTAGCGGTTCGCCATGGCCGCTGCTGGGAACTTCTGAAGTGCGCTCTGGAGATTGCCTCTGTGTCAGCCACCTCCCGTCGGGAGGCTAGACCTCAAGCGCCTCGCGAAGGCCCAGAGGCAGGCCAAAAAACTTGAGCCTCAATTGCTTGAGAAGAGGGGCCCATGACGTCCCAATATGGCCTCAAGATGAGCCGAGAGGTGCCCCAAAAGGCCCCCAAAACAGCTCCAACACACGGCCGAAACGGGCTCAGGAGGGCCGCGCGATCCCCCAAGAGGACCTCAAGACAACCCAAGAGGGCCTAAGATGGCACAAGAGGGCCCAAGACGTTCCTACAAGAGCCCAAGACAGCCACAAGACTGCCCAGGTAGGCCCCATGAGATCCCCATCAAGCAGCAGAGACGAGAGTTGTCACATGTCACGCCCTTCTGGGCGGTGTTCGGAGAGTTGTCACACAGAGGGCTGCGCTAACACGGTGATGGAGCTTGCCGCAGGCAGCTGAACGCACACATATTCTTCCGCCAGCGATACGACACCACCGTCGCGAGAACCAAGACGGACTGCATCGAAGTCAATCGACGAATTGCCACCTGCTTTGAGGACAGCAACCGCCGCGCACCTGCAGGCGGAATGCTTATTAGAGACCGCCGGGGAAGGGGCGCCTTTTCCTCCTCCCTCCTTTTCCTCCTCCACCTCTTCTTTCTCCTCCGTCTCACTCTACATTCTCGTCCTCTCCCAAGTCTTCCCCCGCAAGGTTCCACAACGGCTGTCCCTGGGAAGGCACGTATATAACCCAATAGCTTCGCAAAATGTCAGCCCCAACGTTTGGCCCCGTAGGCGCTTCCGAAAGGCTGGGGGCGGCGGTGGTTCGCCGTAGGCGTATTCGATCCACCGCCCGCTGTTGCCTGCAAGACGGGTTGTAGGCGTGCCAAATGTCTGATTGTTTTGGCACTTCGAGAAAAGCCGAGAGAGACCGAGATGTCTCCAAGAGGGCACAAGAAGCACCCAAGACGGCCCAAGATGGCCTCGAGACGGCCCGAGAGGCCATTGATAAGCGCCAAGTTGTTCCAAGAGGACCTCCAGGAGGCCGTCAGGAAGCTAAACATAACGATGTTTCTTGTGCTGTTCAACGTCATTGATGTTCTCATCTTTCCAGGTTTCCGACGATCGAAGATGCCGCACAAGGCTTCTAACATCAGCAAGACAACCGCAGACGCCGCTCAGAGGGCCCCAAAACACTGCAAGAGGCCCCCAAGATGGCCCCGAGAGGACTCCAAGACGGCCCCACAGGTATCCGAGACAGTGAGGCCCCAGGACGGCCCAGTGAGGCCCCAAGACGGAAACCGAAGACCAGGAGACCCAGAGGCCCCCAAGAGGCATCAAAAGGCCCCGGAGAAGCAGTCGTAGGCACCCCCAGGAAGCCCCTAGCAAGCCCCCAGGAGGCCCCAAGAGGCCCAAGAAGCCTCCGAGAGACCTCCTCTTCATGGTCCCCCTCCTCCTGCTCCTCCTCCTCCGCCTCCTCGTCCTCATCCTCCATTCCTGTTCCTGATGAATAACTTCTCCCTGTCGCACCCCGAGGACAGTGTTTAGGGCGGGCCAGGCGTTTCACCTGAGACTTCCTCACCACTCATGACCCTGAAGCTTACAACACGACAACAGTTTCACAAGTGGGAGCGGGTGGTTTCTAAAATGTGGATCTCGCCTTAGCGCCGCGCACAATCGTTTCAAAAAATTACAAGTTTCACGGATTGAGGGGGGGTCGTTTTCAAAATGTGGTTCTCGCCTTAGCGCCGCGCACTTTCGTTCCAACAACTTGCAAGACCTTCGCGCAATGAGGGAGGATTAATTTGAAAAACTGGCTCTCGCCTTAGCGCCACGCACATTCGGTCGGAAAATTTGCCAAAGTTTCACGGATTGAGGGCGAGTCGTTTTCAAAATGTGGCTCTTGCCTTAGCACCGCGCACATGTGTTTTCAAAATTTGCAGGAGCTTCACGGATTGAGGGCAGTTCCTTTTCGAAATGTGGCTCTCGCCCTAGCGCCGCGCACATTCGTTTAAAAACTCATGTTTCTGAAAGGATTCAGGATACCAAAAATTGTGTTATTGGAAGGGTTCAGGATTATAAGGGCGCAACAGTTAGACTGGTTCGCTGCGTTGAAGTCTCGGCAAAGATGTTCTGGCACGATTCAAGATCGGCAAGACGCAACAGTCAAGTTAACATGTGGCGTTGGAATCTCGAGAAGATTAATTTGACATGCTTCAGGGTCTTCCAACGGTTGTCTTCGAACGAGGCAGTTTCCTGCGGAAATGAAGCGTTCTAGGGGCCTATGAAGAGGGAGCTTGGAGGGAGGGTTCAATTATTCCAACATCGTTGATGACTCTTGGGTTTCCACTGGTCCTCCTCCTCCTTCTCTTCCTCCTCCTCCTCCTCCATTTCTCTCTTCCTCCCAGGGGCTCCCCAAAGGGTTTCTACAACGGCTGGGGGAACACATAGCCCAATAGCTTGGCAAGACTTCGGCCCAACGTTTGTCCACACAGGCGTTTTCAAGAGGCATGGGGCGGCGGTGGCTCGCCGTCTCGCCGTAGACGACTTCCATAAAATTCGCGGGTCCAACGGGCCAAAGGCGCGCTAAAACCTCCGGTAACAGCTTCAGAATACTTCTACGCGCACGTGACTGCCCCTGGTCCTGGGGGTCCCCGGGCGAAAAGTACCCGTGACGGATGCCGGGCGGTCCCCGTCACAGACCCCAGAACTCCTGGGGGCTGCCTTCAGGGCCATCTAGAGCGTCTCAAGAGACCCCCAAGGCGGTCTAAGAGGCCCCAGAGTCAGCGAAATCGTTCCACGATGCCCAAAATAGCCTCCAGACGGCTTCAACCGCCTCCAAGACGCCCGAAGATGCCTCCAATACCACTCCCAAGAAGCCCCCGAGAGGCAAAATTAGTGGTTTCTGATCATTTTCAGCATGCTCACCCTTTCGGCCGCCGACGCTCTAAGTCGGCCCAAGAAGCCCCGAAGATCGCTCCAAGACGGCCTAAGAAGCCTCCAAGAGAACCCCACCACGGCCCAAGAGGGCCCCAAGACGGCCCCAGAGGCCTCCAAGATGGGCAGAGAGAGCCCCGGGACGGCCCCAAGAGGGGGCACAGGAGGAGGAAGCCGAACGGGCATTTCGAGCCCTCGGCCCCGAGAGGCGTCCAGGCTGTCCCAAGCGCCCCCCAAGAGCCCCTGGGGTTCAAGAGGCCCCCAAGAGGCGCGAAGAGAGCGGCAAGAGGCATCCAAGGCGCCCCCCGGAGGCACTCAAGGGCCCCTAAATCCGCTGTAGAGAAGCCCCGCGGAAACCCTCCGAAGAGACACCAAGAAGTATCAATGAGGATTCACCCATGGCCGCAGCAGCGCCGATCAGCAGCGCCGCATGGCCCACGAACGCGCTCGCAAACGCCAACGATGGCAGAATGGCGGCTGGCGGAATGAGCGAAGTGAAAAATAAACAAAGCTTTCGCGGAGGCAGGCGCCAGAACTGGCCTGGGCGCCCGACCCCCGCTTGCCGGGGCTGAGATGGCGTGTGAGATGATTGGCTGTCCCCCTCCCCCAGAATCCAAACTCTAGCTAAGTGGGGGGGCATACGAGTTCCCTGGCGCTTCCCTGGAGACTCTGGAGCTTCCAGATCTGCCCTTCGTGGCCTCAAAGACGTGCCAAGACGGCCCCCCATCGCCGAACGGCTGGGCCAAGACGCCTACGATGGCTCCAAGACGCCCCAAGACGCCTTCAAGACGCCCCGAGAGAGGCCCAAGAGCCTCCCCAAGAGGGCCCCGAGAGGCAAACAAAAATGGGTTTCCTTCGGTTGCTCATTATTTCTGGGGATGTCGCCCTCTCGAGCTTCTGACGCTCCAAAAAGGCCCAAGAGGCCCTGGAGATCGCCCCAAAACTTCCCAGGAGGTCCCTACGAGGGCCCCAAGACGGCCCAAGAGGATTCCAAGACGGCTCAAAGAGGGGCCCAAGACGGTCAAAGATCGCCCTATGAGGGCGCCAAGAGCGGCCAAGAGGGAGAACACAAACCAAAAATTCCACCTCAAGTGGCCCCCCAGAAGCCCCAAGAAGCCCCCAAGCGGCCCAAAAAAGGCCCCAAACTAGCCCCACAAACCATCAAGAGACCCCAAAGAGGCCCCAAAACCGGTCTCAAGCCACTTCAAAATTGCCTCCAAGAGGCTCAACCAGGTCCCCAAACAGTTCCCAAGATGCCCACAAGAGGCCCCAAATAGTGCCCAAGAATCCCACGACGCCTCAACCGTGGACTCCCTCCCCGCCTTGTTTGGGGTCGGCGGAGTGGCATACGCTTCTTGAACAAACGAGGCTTTCGCGACGGAGGCCGGCGCCCAAACTGGCCTGGGCGCCCTCCCACTGGCGCGACAGCGGCACCCCGGAGTGCAGCTGCACCTCGCTGGCGGAGGCGTCCCCTTTTCCTCCTCCTCCTCCTCCTCGATATTATTTTCCTCCTCCTCCTCCTCCTTCTCCCCAGTTTCCTCCTCCTTGTCCTCCTCCTCCTCCTCCTCCTCCTCCTCCTCATCCTCCTCCTCCTCCATGCCCTCCTTCTGCCCCTCTACCTGATCCGTCTGTCATAGGCTTCGCCTCTTTGATCCTGTTTTTTTTGGGGGGGAGACAGAAAAATAGGGTATGGGCAGAGGTGGGGTCAGAGGAAAATATATATATCTAAATGGCCCCATCGAAAAAAGGAAATCCCACAAGCCCTCTAGGCGCGAGTGGTTTAAAGCGTTTCCTCCTCCCCCCCCTTTTCATCCCCTCGGGGGAGGGGTTTAACCCTCACCTTGTCTCCCCCCCCTGAGTTTGGACGGAAATTTCGCGAAACGTTGGAACAACTGTTCTGGCCTCGGCCCAGAGCCCCAAATCATTGATTTTACTACTATGCTCCCCAGACACCCCCCTGGACAACCTGGACAACCCATGCTGATTACTGACGACAGAACGACCTACTCGGACAACCCCTTGGACAACCCAGCGGGGATTTGGGCAACCCCACCCAAGGACCCTTGTGGGACAAGCCTCCCCAGCATTTTCTTTCACTGGATGAAAAAAAGTTTCGGCCACAGTTTGACCTCCTGAGGGGAACCCAATGCGGGAGCCCCCCTCCTTCAATCGAATATGGCCCCCCCGATCCTCCCAAGGGTGCCCCAATATGGCCCCAAGCGGTGTCCAGGCGGCCCCAAGAGCCCCCCCAAAACCCCCCACGAAATTTGAAGGGAGCGTAAGCCCGACCAGAAGCTTCGCGTTTGGCGAAGCACAGCTCCTGCTCTGTTGTATCGTAGTAGCGATAGTCCCAGCCGCAGGAGATCGTCGCGGGAGCGACGGGCCATCTCAAGCGAAGGATGCGTTCGGTCTCGATGGCGACTCGTACACTTCGCACTGAGGCATATCGGCGGCCGGCCGCTTGAGCACAAACGGCCGCGGACAAATGCTCGTTACCTCTCGCCGTCGTCCCAGCTCACTTTAGAATCGGGGGGGAGGGAGACGAAGCGTGAGTCCGCCGCCACTATACGGCAGATGCAGCAGGCACTATGTACAAAGGGCAGCAAAGGGCGGGGCCGCAAGGAAGGCGGGCCCGCAAGCAAGTTGCCTTGCAAGCACATTGCTGTGCATGTGATATCTCCTCAGGCGGCCACAGACCAGGCTGTCTGGCCAACCCGATAAGGAGTATGACGCTTTAAGTCATGCTTGAAGGATTGCGTAACTCCCATGACCTGAAGGAGCATATCTCTGTGAATGCCCCCCTTGGTGTGACCATATGCGGTCATGTCACGAGTGTCACACCACTGAATGCTATGCACGATTCCTCGCTCCATCATCTCATCTCTCGCACCCAGCGGATGTGTCCTAAAGGGGCACACTCAGTCGGTTTCTTCCGGTCTTTGCTTGACGAGGACAAGACAGCTTCAGCATCTACGGTCAAGGTGACCTTGATGCGTAGGCCACCCAACCCAATTATATATTTCGACTGAGTGGGGGTCAAAGGACCAAGCGTAGAGCTCGCGCAGAGTCACGATCGTGGGATAGCAGTCCTCCAAATTGCGGGTTGCTGCGAGTGTCTCCGCTAAATAGCTTGAGCGGACCTGCAGGCGGCGAGACTTGCAGTGCGCAGCGATCAAGTGGACGACGGGCTTGCTGGGTGGCGTGGTTCCACGCCGTACCAAGTTTGCCCCGCGAATACCATTGCCTTTGACTTCATCGTCGGCATCTCCACTCAGGCGTCGATAGCGGGGTCGCTGCGCAGGTCAGCTTCGCCCGTTGGAGTCAAATATTGAAAGACGATCTTCTTAAGGCAAGCCTGCAACTTCCTGGCGATCGCGCTCAGTCGTCGCACATGTATATCGGTCTGTTCTTGGACGCGTTGTATAGAGAGACCACATATACCATCAGCCACACTTGGGTGATTAATGCGTAAGCCAATGCGCCTCTGAGGCTGACGAGCATGTCTGCAACCATCTTGGATGCTTTGGCGTCAGCGTCGCCACTAGTGAGTTCAGGAGGTTGTATAGGACTGAGCTGTTTGATGTGTTCATCTTGGTTTCATGTGACATTGCAGCCCCCGTCCTTTGTGCACCTCAAAGCACAATTGGCATATGCATGTTGAGTTTGCACTTGCCAAACGTGTCCTCGACGCACTTGATGCACTTGTCAATGGCGCCCACAGTGCGAGCCATAGTGGTATCATCAGCATGTTTGGCTGTGATTGCTTGTCTCGAACTCCTCGTCGCCTCGTCGTAGGTCGTGGGTCTGAGACCAAAGCCTCTCGTGGTCCTTCTGAGTGTCAGTGAGAAAGCTCTGGGTGCATCCTTGGTGCCGGCGCCTGGCTCGAGGCGCTGCAGGCAGTGCTTTGACTCGCCGTTGTGCTCGAATCCTGGGAGGGGTCGAAGCACCGTTGCCGATCCAGGCGCCAAGGTAAAGCACGCCACACGTTCCCTTTCACCAGATGCCCCAGCAACTTCCTGGTAGGTTAATCCCTTCAGGAAAGCCATGTTGATGTCAAGGGAAGCAATGACCCATTGCTTCTCGCGCGCTGCCGTGCTCGCGAGTAATATCTGGCTTGGCCGCCGCGCTGTCCCTGAGAAGATTTCCACGTCAAAAGCCTCAATGCCCATGAACCCCCGAAGCGCCAGGCGCAATCTGGCGGCACGTGCACATCTCGCCATTCTCGTTCTTCACGAACTTCAATGTATATACGCACCTGGAAATCATGATGTTCGACGCTTTAGAAGTATCTCGCACATCGGAACACTCGTTGTCAAATCATAGTTTGAATTCAGTATATAGGGCCTTGGATACATTCTCGGGATTCGCCTGGATGTCGGCCTTCGCGAGGAAGTCAGCTTCCTTGACGACCGCAGCTCGCTTTGCAGGGGCGGTACCATATACTCGCCTGGCGGTTGCACGGTCGGCATCTAGTATCCTGCGCTGTGTTTCGGGTAGGACTACCTCTGACACTTCTGCCGCGGAGCAGAGTTCTACATATTGACCATTCTCGCCCGAGTCCAATCCGCAACTGTGGTCTTCGACCGTTGAGCACAGTGGAACATGATACGTCTCCTCGATGTCGGAGCCGCGTGAATATCACCACTTGGGCAGGTGCCCCCGCTGTTCTTCAGCTACAGTGGCCAGCGCACTGTTGTTAGTAATCATATGTGTGGGTACAGGGTAAAGGTCATCTAATGGAGTTGCCTCCAGTAGATCCCTTTCTTCATGTAATTCTGTGTACCACACTCCCATAATATGCGCCTCAAGGTCCGCTTCATTCTTCATATATCGCAGCAGGCCGTCCATCCTCTAGTGGTGGTTCGGCCTCTGGGGCTTCTCTGGCGTCTTCGTCTTGCGTCGGCAAGGCCGCCATTTCATCAAACTCTGTCCAATGTTGGTCAACGCCCGCTTGAGGTTTAGTGGACTTGCGGCGCTGGATGATTGTCGAATGTGCTGACCCAGTTATATCATGAACATTCAGGGCAGTGCCTTCTGCTCCATAGCAATGGAAACCTGGGTTTACATCACTGTCATCATGGACACTTGTGAGAATGTCAGCGTGAGCCACCGGAGGTAGCTTATGGATACCAACCTAACAGAGACGACGTTCTCCATGCGGAAGAAGTTTCTGATAAGGCATGGTAGCGCCAGATGTACTTCGGAAAACCGTCGGCTTGCACTGGCCATCTGAAGCCCCCCCTCTTCTGGTCGGGACATAGCCAAATGTCACGGCAAGTCTCCCCGCAGGTAGACTGGCAACAAATGTCCACACTGTCCGTAATGCAAGGTGTTGTCGGAGACGATTTCTCTGGCTATCAAAGCTTCGATGCAGAGTACATGTTGTGTATCGCCATATTGAATTTGTACATCGCGGCTTCCCACTCGAATGATGACTTGGCCCCTGTCGGGCTCATTTCGTGCAAATGGGAAGAGGCCGTTCCAGCCTCCCCAGTCGTCCTTCGTAGTGATGGGACGATGGTAGTTAACCAAATCTCCTTCATCATAATAATGCTGACCGGCGGTAGTTGTCTTAGTACGTAATGCACGATTGGTCTTGGCTACTGCAGTAGCCTGATCTCGAGAGTGGCCAGACGTTTCTATTGGCTGCTCATGGTCCAGAACAGGCAAGTCAGGGAGAATTGCCGGTTGCCGTCCAAACAAAGCGTTTTATGGAGACACCTCACTATAGAAAGTGAATGAACTGGCGGCAAACAGGGCTTCGTGCAGTAGTCGTTCTATGACTAATCTTTTGAGTTCAGTTTCCATGACGCGAAGCAGATGACGAAACATGTCACTTCTGGCTTCGATCGTTGTCCACGCGCGCGCATCCTCGACTCAGTGTCCTTTGCCTCAAGGACTGCCTTTGCAGTGTCGTTCTTCAGGGCACTCACACCATCGGACGAGGGTACCTTGGCAGGTCCGAGCTGCATCCAGCACTGATGATACGCATCTAAGATACTGGTCATTGTATTATCTGGTATCTCCGCTCCAGTAGCATCTCGAATGCAACGGCCAATGATGAAAGATATTGTGCTCCTGTTTGTGGAACTTAAGGTCGCATTCGACTTCTTGATTGAGCTTGCCAGGTAGTGCAGTGGATGGCATGACGGCATGCCCTGGCTTGTCCCACGCCCTGCACTCCCGACATGTGTCGCAGACGCCTTTGATCAGGTTGTGCCTGACGCTGTCCAGACCTGCTTTTGGCTAAGATGAGTCATCTTAAGCGCTCTAACACGGAACCATCCGCACGTGTAGATTCCGCAACTCGCGTGTTACCACGCATGGGTCAAGACTTCGTAAGCTGTGCAGGCTGGTTTGCACGTCGAACCATCACCAGTCTGGGAGTCGCGGGCGCGTGGCAGGGTTACCCGCAGGTGGCGGTGGAGGTGGATATCCTCCCCGCTGTCGGC